CCATGCTTTCAACTAGTAGCAGGGTGGCTCCTTTTGATACCCCTCACAATCCGATTACACACAATATAAAAATACTAAGATCTCTCTCACATATTACATTGGTACCAGCCACGATAGGGCACTGTTATAACAAGCTCGTATTGCTACAGAAAATATTAAAAAAAAAAAAACCAAACCTTCCACCATGAACATCAGTCCCGATGCTTTGAAAAAAATTGAAGACATGCCTTGGAATCCAACCAAAGGCCATGCACAATCCAAGTTTCGTGAATACAGCTATACCAACAATGCTGGCCACAAAGCTTACTTCCAATACTACATGGATAATGGCGAGAATCTACACGATATGATTGAACATGCATTCAACTATCCCTCTGCCATGGAAGGTGCTGACCTAAACGACATTGCCAAAGCTCAGCTTTTCAAGATGACCTTGAAACCTGCTGCAAGGAAACGCTTCCACAATGTCCTCACTCAGCAACAAGCTGACAACGTCAATGAGCTTGATGAAATTCTCCGAGCCTACATTGAAAATCGTATGTCTGAATTGGGACAACGTGCAGCCTACAATCAAATTGAAGGCTTGAAGGCTTCCAAGAAACCAACATCCATTCCTGCATATGCATGGGAAACTCTGTTTGAAATGGCCAATGACATTGTCAATTGGGTTTCTGGACCAGAAGCAAAGCTTACTGATGAAACATTGCGTCGTGTCTTTGCCGACTCGTTTCCTACCACTTGGATCACTCAGTTTGAAACCGTGAAAACTGATGATATGGCCAATACCACCATGGGTGCTATTACGGCTTTCATGACCAAGAAAGAGAAGGACGCAGCTACGTCTCGTCGCAACAATGAAGCCAAGCAAAAGGCTGCAGGCAAAGCTTCCAAAGCCGTCAAGGCTGACGGTCAACAAGCTAAGCCCAAGTATAAGAGATCCAATGGCCGCAATGGCAATAATGGATCGTCCAAGGACACTGGCAAATGCAATCGCCATCCTGATGGCAGGCATTTGTGGATTGACTGCTTTGAAAATCCCAAGAATGCTGGGAAATCTAAAAAGGAGATTATCGAAGCAGCCAAGAAACGCCGTCAGTCCCAAAAGGACAACAATGACGGTGATGATAATCATATGATTGTCGATGAGGGAGAAGCCATGGCCATTGATGATGGCCGCCATTCTCCAGCTGGTAAGTCTACATCACTTCCCACAGAACCTACTACTATTCTTCTGTCAAGTGACTCACATCACCTTGACTCATTTGCTCTTCATGACGATGATGAATCAAATGCACAGCCTTTGATCCCATCTTCAGCACCATTGCTGACGAAACCGAACGCGACGCTTTCCTTGAAATCTTCTCGAAAGCGCCTGCGGCAATCCAACTCCTCCATGGAAAAGGATACATCGGTAACAAGGCCATGCCTTGAGGAGGAAGAGGCAGCAGTGTCTGCAGCAGTGAAAGTCCTTAGTGGCTCACTGTTCAATGAACACATGAGTGTTGAAGAAAACAATAGTAGTAGTGGTAATACACCAAATAATGAAATATTAGGCAAGCAAGCACACGATGCAATGCCTGTGACAATTATTGTAGCAAAAACAATTCAAGGAGTGTTTTCGCAACGACCTCTTCGAGTCCTTTTGGATTCTGGCTCACGCAGCAATTTTGTATATCCCAAAGCACTTCCCAAAGCGTCAAAACTGACCAAATTACCTGCACCAAAGGCAGTTGGACTTCTTAATGGTACCGCTACCATAGAGTCCATGGTAACACTGGAGGATGTTGTGCTTGCTGAACTCAGCAGATCAAAACACATCACTAGCATCCCATTCTATGTAGCTCCTGGTGATTCCACCTATGATGCTATTATTGGTCGAGAAACACTTCGTTCCCTTGGTATCAAACTTGACTTTGACACCGACACAATACAATGGAAGGAACATATGCTTCCAATGAAGCCACCTTTGACCAGACCTCGTATGGAATTATTCCGCTCAGTGCAGCAACAATTCCTTGCTAGCTTTGAGACTGAAGATGATGGTCTGTCTCCACTGGGATTGGAATCCAACTTCATGACTGCAGTCCAGATCAATGAGTCCAAGTATGACCAACATGATGTTGATGAGGTTGCCGACATGCAACGGCATCTCTCCCCAGATCACCGCAACCAGCTCAAGCAAGTCTTGCGCAAGTTTACCAAACTTTTCAGTGGCAAGCTAGGTAGCTACCCACATCGAAAAATGCACCTGCATATGGACAAAGAGGACCACCACAAGCTGAGATATCAACGTCCATATCCAGTTCCCAGGGCAAATTTGGAAGTCTTCAAGCAAGAGCTTGACAGACTTGTGGAAATTGGTGTCCTTCGTCCTGTCAATGGATTAGTCCAATTTGCAGCACCAACTTTCATTGTACCCAAGAAAGATGGTCGTGTTCGATGGGTCTCGGACTTCCGAGAGCTCAACAAACTCATCAGGCGTCGTGTATATCCACTTCCACGCATCAATGAAGTCTTGCGCAAGCGCAATGGCTACTCATTCTTCACTAAGCTCGACATCAGTATGCAATACTATACCTTTGAGCTGGATGAAGAGGCCAAGGAGTTGTGCACCATTAGCACTCCCTTTGGCAATTACCAATACAATAGAGCACCAATGGGTGTCAAGCAGACTCCTGACTTTGCACAGCAAATTATGGAAGAAGTCCTCAGAGATATCCCTGAGGTTGACTGTTACATTGATGATATTGGCTGTTGGGAACAAAGTCTCTCCCAGCAAGGTTCATTTGAACACCACATGGAGGTTCTGACCACAGTGTTGCAGCGCCTCCAGGATGCCAATTTCACTGTCAACCCTCTCAAATGTGAGTGGGCTGTCCAAGAAACAGATTTCCTTGGCTATTGGTTGACACCTACTGGTATCAGACCATGGAAGAAAAAGATCCAAGCCATCCTCAATCTTGAGGCTCCCAGAAATGTTAAAGAGGTTCGCAGTTTCATTGGAGCTGTCACCTTCTACAGAGAGATGTTTCCACAACGCTCTCATGTTTTGTCTCCACTGTACAAGCTGACAGAGGCCAAGCGCAAATGCCGCTTTGATTGGAATCAAGATCCCAATTGTCAGATTGCCTTTGATGAAGTCAAGGCCATCCTTGCTAAGGACCTGTTCCTGCAATACCCAGATCACAACCTGCCATTCCATGTATATACAGATGCCAGTGATACCCAAATGGGTGCAGTGATCATGCAAAATAATAAGCCAGTGGCTTACTTTTCCAGGAAGCTCACTTCAGCTCAACGGAATTATACAACAATGGAAAAAGAGTTGCTCTCCATTGTCACCACTCTTTCAGAATACCGCACTATGCTATTTGGGGCCAAGGAACTCCACGTTCATACAGATCACAAGAATCTGACATATGCTAATCTCAACTCCCAGAGAGTACTGCGCTGGCGTCTCTTCCTTGAAGAGTTTAACCCAGTCTTTCATTATATTGAGGGACAAGCCAATACACTTGCTGATGCCTTATCCAGGCTTCCATGCAAAGAAGGGCAGGGTAGTGACACGGCTGATACCAGTGCCACTGACACAAAAATGGCCACAGAATTGGGGACGCCTGATTCAAGTTATTCAATCCTGGTCGATGATGATGAACTCTTGGAATGCTTCCTAGCTTTCCCTGAAGTGAATCCAGAGCAACCGTTTGCTCTCGACTTTCAAGAAATCGCCAATGCACAGCAACAAGAAGGACTCCTTCAACTCTGCACAACAGATCCCCAACATTACAAACATGAAGCTTTGCAAAAAAGCACCATCAAATTGGTTCTGTACTATGCATCTCCAAGTGCTGAACCCAAGATCAGGATACCTGATTCCCATCTTGACACAATTGTCAACTTCTATCACATGGCACTTGTCCATTCAGGTTCAACACAGTTGTACAACTCCATGTCTCAATTTTATACCCATCCTAAGCTGCAAGCTAGGATCTTGCACATTGCTCTCACATGTGAGACATGTCAAAAAGCTAAGCTTCCAGGTAGAGGCTATGGGCATCACCCACCAAGACAAGCATTCATTGCACCATGGCATGAAATTGCTGTCGACCTCATTGGTCCCTGGTCCATCAGAGATGACAAGGGCAAAGAGCATTCATTCAGAGCTCTCACAGTGATTGACACAGTCACCACCTACTGTGAAATAGCATTGCTACGCAACAAGACTGCCAAACATGTTGGCATGCAGTTGGAAAACCAATGGTTATCCCGTTATCCCAAACCAGAACGCTGTGTCTATGACCAAGGCGGCGAGTTCTTGGGAGAAGACTTTCAAAAAGTCTTGAGACGCCATGGGCTTCACCCTGGTGGCTCAACAGTCAAGAACCCACAGTCCAATGCTGTATGTGAACGTCTCCATCAGTCTATTGGCAATGCTCTCAGAGCAATCAACCATGACAACTATCCTCCAAAGAATGCTGCAGAAGCAGCTGAGCGAATCGACTCTGCACTGCAGACAGCAGCATATGCAGCACGCACTGCCATGCATACCACAATGAAACTATCTCCAGGCTCAATGGCCTTCCATAGAGACATGATTCTCAACATTCCTCTCATTGTGGACTTTGAGCTTTTGCGTCAACGACGTCAAGCATTGATTGACCGCAATCTACTACGTGCCAATGCCAAGCGCATTGACTTTGACTACCAGCCAGGTCAACAAGTCCTGAAGCTGTCTGATAATCCCAAAGCAATGGAACTTAGGGCACATGGGCCTTACACAATCACCCGTATCCACACAAATGGCACGGTCGTTATCCAACTAGATGACAATGTAACGGAACGAATCAACATTCGCCGCATCAAACCATACCGTACTTGAGAGGTTTTTGTCCACATGGTTTCCTCTCAACTTTGGACGACTCGTCCACTGAATCAAGGCTATAAGCCAGTGCAAGCTGTTCCTCCAATGGACTTACACCTTGGTGGGGCAGAGTGTAGTATCTCGCGACTAGCACGAATCAAACAGTCATGACTGAACCACTCATGACTGAAACTCGCATGACTGAAACTCGCATGACTGAAACATGCATGTATGTTTCCTCCGTGATGGGCTC